GCGAGTAATACTGCAAACACAGAGTACAAAGAGTACACAAGGTACTGAGAGTAATACTGCAAACACAGAGTACAAAGAGTACACAAGGTACTGTGAGTAATACTGCAAACACAGAGTACAAAGAGTACACAAGGTACTGAGAGTAATACTGCAAACACAGAGTACAAAGAGTACACAAGGTACTGAGAGTAATACTGCAAACACAGAGTACAAAGAGTACACAAGGTACTGAGAGTAATACTGCAAACACAGAGTACAAAGAGTACACAAGGTACTGAGAGTAATACTGCAAACACAGAGTACAAAGAGTACACAAGGTACTGTGAGTAATACTGCAAACACAGAGTACAAAGAGTACACAAGGTACTGAGAGTAATACTGCAAACACAGAGTACAAAGAGTACACAAGGTACTGAGAGTAATACTGCAAACACAGAGTACAAAGAGTACACAAGGTACTGTGAGTAATACTGCAAACACAGAGTACAAAGAGTACACAAGGTACTGAGAGTAATACTGCAAACACAGAGTACAAAGAGTACACAAGGTACTGAGAGTAATACTGCAACACAGAGTACAAAGAGTACACAAGGTACTGCGAGTAATACTGCAAACACAGAGTACAAAGAGTACACAAGGTACTGAGAGTAATACTGCAAACACAGAGTACAAAGAGTACACAAGGTACTGAGAGTAATACTACAAACACAGAGTACAAAGAGTACACAAGGTACTGAGAGTAATACTGCAAACACAGAGTACAAAGAGTACACAAGGTACTGAGAGTAATACTGCAAACACAGAGTACAAAGAGTACACAAGGTACTGAGAGTAATACTACATTTCTTGTTATTATAAATTATATTTTGTAAATATAATTTATAATAAACTAAGAAAAGTGTGTGTGTGTGTGTGTGTGTGTGTGTGTGTGTGTGTGTGTGTGTGTGTGTGTGTGTGTGTGTGTGTGTGTGTGTGTGTGTGTGTGTGTGTGTGTGTGTGTGTTGTGTGTGTGTGTCTCTGTGTGTCTCTGTGTGTGTGTGTGTCACAGAGGCCCCTGGGAGCCGGCCCACCCCCCTGTACGGGCAGCCCTCCTGGTGGGGGGAGGAGGACTTTGGGGGTTCAGGGCTGAGCAGCGATGGACCTCCTGCAGGTGAGACCCTCCAAAGCTTAACCAGTGGTTCTCCAGAGAGAAGAGAAGCCTATAGAGTCCTCTGATCACCTGAGAGGGAGGAGGAGCCTATAGAGTCCCCTGATCACCTGAGAGGGAGGAGGAGCCTTTAGAGTCCTCTGATCACCTGAGAGGGAGGAGGAGCCTTTAGAGTCCTCTGATCACCTGAGAGAGAAGAGGAGCCTTTAGAGTCCTCTGATCACCTGAGAGGGAAGAGGAGCCTTTAGAGTCCTCTGATCACCTGAGAGGGAGGAGGAGCCTTTAGAGTCCTCTGATCACCTGAGAGGGAAGAGAAGCCTATAGAGTCCTCTGATCACCTGAGAGGGAGGAGGAGCCTATAGAGTCCCCTGATCACCTGAGAGGGAGGAGGAGCCTTTAGAGTCCTCTGATCACCTGAGAGGGAAGAGGAGCCTTTAGAGTCCTCTGATCACCTGAGAGAGAAGAGGAGCCTTTAGAGTCCTCTGATCACCTGAGAGGGAGGAGGAGCCTTTAGAGTCCCCTGATCACCTGAGAGGGAGGAGGAGCCTTTAGAGTCCTCTGATCACCTGAGAGGGAGGAGGAGCCTATAGAGTCCCCTGATCACCTGAGAGGGAAGAGGAGCCTTTAGAGTCCTCTGATCACCTGAGAGGGAAGAGGAGCCTTTAGAGTCCTCTGATCACCTGAGAGGGAGGAGGAGCCTTTAGAGTCCCCTGATCACCTGAGAGGGAGGAGGAGCCTTTAGAGTCCTCTGATCACCTGAGAGGGAAGAGAAGCCTTTAGAGTCCTCTGATCACCTGAGAGGGAAGAGGAGCCTTTAGAGTCCCCTGATCACCTGAGAGGGAAGAGGAGCCTATAAAGAGGAACAGCTCAGCGCTGAGTTATTAAAACACCAACATGAGAAACACTTAAATGCTACATTTCAAATGTTTCAATCCATCAATAAATTCATGGCAAACCAATTTTAACATCAAGCAACAACACTGAGACGACATTAGCTGCATTCAATCAATTAATCAATCAATCAATTAATCAATCAATCAATCAATCAATTAATCAATCAATCAATCAATTAATCAATGTTTATTTATAGCCCAATATCACAAATGTTACATTGTGTTACATGTTTGTCCTTAGATCCTCTGTCCTTAGACCCTCTGTCCTTAGACCCTCTGTCCTTAGACCCTCTGTCCTTAGACCCTCTGTCCTTAGACCCTCTGTCCTTTGACCCTCTGTCCTCAGACCCTCTGTCCTCAGACCCTCTGTCCTCAGACCCTCTGTCGTCAGACCCTCTGTCCTCAGACCCTCTGTCCTCAGACCCTCTCTTCTCAGACCCTCTGTCCTCAGACCCTCTGTCCTCAGACCCTCTGTCCTCAGACCCTCTCTCCTCAGACCCTCTGTCCTCAGACCCTCTGTCCTCAGACCCTTTGTCCTTAGACCCTCTGTCCTTTGACCCTCTGTCCTCAGACCCTCTGTCCTCAGACCCTCTGTCCTCAGACCCTCTGTCCTCAGACCCTCTGTCCTTAGACCCTCTGTCCTCAGACCCTCTCTCCTCAGACCCTCTGTCCTCAGACCCTCTGTCCTCAGACCTTCTCTCCTCAGACCCTCTGTCCTCAGACCCTCTGTCCTCAGACCCTTTGTCCTTAGACCCTCTGTCCTTAGACCCTCACATCGTACAAGGAAAAACTTCCGGAGAAAACCCACAGTTTAAAGGGAACATGGGAGAAACATTACATTTAGCTGAGGCTTTTATCCAAAGCGACTAAAGACAATAAGTGCGTTCGACCAACAAAATACAACCTTGAAGAAAACAGAATCATAAAGTACATCAGGTTTCATAGAGCCAAACATTTCAAGTGCTACTCAACTGGCTTTAGGTAAGCCAGCCCTTTATTAGTATATAAGTGCTTTGTTAATAGTTCTATCGCTCGAAGTGGAGTCGAAAGAGATGAGTTTTCAGTCTGGAAGGTGTGTAAGCTATCTGCTGTCCTGATGTCAATGGGGAGCTCATTCCACCATCTTGGAGCCAGGACAGCAAACCCACGTGTTTCTGCTGATGGGAACTTGGGTCCCCCTCGCAGCGAGGGCGCAACGAGTCGTTTGGCTGATGCAGAGCGTAGTGCACGCGCTGGGGTGTACGGTTTAACCATGTCCTGGATGTAGGAAGGGCCAGATCCATTCGCAGCATGGTACGCAAGTACCAGTGTCTTGAAGTGGATTCTAGCAGTTATCGGAAGCCAGTGAAGGGAGCGGAGGAGCGGAGTGGTGTGGGAACATTTAGGAAGGTTGAAGACCAGACGAGCCGCTGCATTCTGGATGAGCTGCAGAGGTCGGATGGCACATGCAGGTAGACCAGCCAGGAGGGAGTTGCAGTAGTCTAGGCGTGAGATGACGAGAGCCTGGACCAGAACCTGAGTCGCTTTCTGGGTCAGCTGGGGACGTATCCTCCGGGAGAGCAACAGAACTGATTGAACTGATCTTTTTAATAAGTCGTACAATGCAGTGAAACGTGGGCTTGAGCTTCACTGAGGATCTTTGTCATTCTGACGGGGAGGCAAACTGCAGTTATTATACTTCACCTTTTGAAATATGTGTAGCTGTTCATATAAAACCCACTCGGCTCAACATTCCTTACTTTTCCTGAAATTGTTATTTTTTTTTCATTCACATAAAATAAATATCACGTACCCCCTGCAGTACTCCAACGTACCCCTAGGGGTCCGTGTACCCCCATTTGAGAACCACTGGCTTATACAGTATATATACATAGTGCTATATGTGATATATACATAGTGCTATATGTGATATGATATATACATAGTGCTATATGTGATATGATATATACATAGTGATATATGTGATATAATATATACATAGTGCTATATGTGATATACTATATACATAGTGCTATATGTGATATAATATATACATAGTGCTATATGTGATATGATATATACATAGTGCTATATGTGATATAATATATACATAGTGCTATATGTGATATATACATAGTGTTATATGTGATATGATATATACATAGTGCTATATGTGATATAATATATACATAGTGCTATATGTGATATATACATAGTGCTATATGTGATATACTATATACATAGTCCTATATGTGATATAATATATACATAGTGCTATATGTGATATGATATATACATAGTGCTATATGTGATATATACATAGTGCTATATGTGATATATACATAGTGCTATATGTGATATATACATAGTGCTATATGTGATATATACATAGTGCTATATGTGATATATACATAGTGCTATATGTGATATATACATAGTGCTATATGTGATATATACATAGTGCTATATGTGATATGATATATCATAATGTATAAATAATGTCCACACGGTCTGTTTATTGTCTGCACCTGTTATTTTATTTATTTGTATGTAATACCGTTGTTATTAAAGTCCTTGTCTTCTCAGAGCTGCAGAGGGGCGCCTCATCTGGGGACCTGGACCCCCGGCCCCCCCTCCCTGCTTACCTTCGGGATCCGAGTTACTTCGAGACCCCCACCAAAGACCCCCCGGGGGCGGAGCTTCAGGAGATCCCCACCAAGGACACAGACACGCCCACCAGCACCCCCCCCGTGGTTCAGAGTCACGCCTCCTTCACCATCGAGTTCGACTCGCCCGGCACCATGAAGATCAAAGACCACATCACCAAGTTCTCCACCCGCCACCGCAAGCCGCAGACCCCGCCCCCAGCCACGTTCACAGACGTGATGTCATCAGAGAGCAAGGTCGCTGATTGGCTGGTGCACAGTGACGTAAGCTTGATGAAAAGACGGCCCACCTGTGAGGACGTGTACAGCACCAAG